AGAAATAGAGAGTGGCGCATTAGTTACGCCGATTAATCCATTAGCTTCTTGCCGCTACCGTGCGCGTTTCAGTGCTCTATTACTCTATCCACACATTTATCTTGATTTCACCGTAAAATTTCCTGGAACGGGGAGTGAAGGGGAACCTACCGCAATCTCGCGCACGTTGGCATTACGTGTCTCTTCGCGAGACGGACGCCGCCGCGTTCGATATGCGCGTGTTTATCGCGTAACGTCATGTCCTTTTTATTTTATATACATTGGGATATTACGCGCGACGGTGCATTGTGTTGTTTGATTTTTCTCTTTCAATCCCCGATTGCGATCGCGCTGTCGCGCGCGCCCGCCGCCGTAAAATCACGGTTCGGAAGTCACCTGTCACAATTGTAACGGGAACGGTAAAAGCCGCGCGCACGTGCCGCGGGTGGCGAACGAGGCGCGCGGCGGCGATAGCGAGCGCGACGGCGGAGATGAGATAATAGATAATAGACACACCGAGGCCGATTGTGTTCGGCGCGCAAACGCTCTCTTTGAATAGACGCCGCGTGGCAGAAGCTCGTAAACGAGGGCTCCCGCGAACTTGCCCTCGATTAAGATTATTATCCTTTTTGCGCATTGCGCCGTTTACCCGCGGCTATAATAGAGTCCTGTTACTCGTGCACGCAGAGTCCATCCATCACATACACGCAACGTACACACACACACACATATACACACACACACACACACGCCCGGAAAGTTTAATATAATTAATCTTTTAATTAAAAGTCTCTAACTGCGCCTCGCAGCGACGCGGCGTAAAGAATTTTTAGACCGTAATAAACGTAATGAAACGTAAACAAATTTATTGGGGCCTCCTCACCTATCGATATATCAATTATCAGTAATAATGAAAACGATAAATCCGGACAATATTCTGCATTGTATCAATTTATTTCATTTATGATTTAGAAAGAGAGTGAGAGAGAGAGGAGGGGGGGAGAGAGAGGAAAGGGAGAGAATGAGGGAAAACGAAATTCCCCAACAAATGTGGAATTTTTTTAACGCGCCGCAGTTAAAGAATTAAATTTCCGCTAAAATAGCAGAATCGCGGATAAATTCCTTCGCAATTGAAGTTCCGTATGCAGCTCTTTTTTTTTTTAACTCGTCAACATATCTATATGGGAGTATCGTGTAACAGTCTCGACCTTTCTCCCCTCGATTCTCCTCTTATCAACCGAGGAACCCTCATTCACGCCTTTCCCTTTAATGAAACGGACTGCGGGTCCCTCCGTTTCTCCTTATCCTCCCTTCTTCCTTCTCGCGGAAACGTTTTCCACTTGTTTCCACCGCGGCCTGGCCAGCGTGCCGGGCCGGATGCGTGCGTGTTCTTCCTCGTTATGTACTTTCGCGCTCACGCACGCACGCATGCACGCGAGTACACGCACACGCTCGCGTGGGCGTGCATTCTCGATTTGTGCGCGCGCGTGTGTGTATGTGTGCATGCGTGCGACGTCGCTTACGACACGGTGGTTCCGTTGCATGCCGGAACGTGAGGTTGAAGGAACGCCTCGCGCGAACAGGTTCCCTTCCTTTTCCACGACGCCGCCGACCGCCGAAGGGAACAGTGAGTTGCATCAGCGCGACGACACAGTCGCAGACTGACAATGGACCGCGTTCTCACCGAGCGTTTAAAGCGTTAAACGTGAAGGATCCCCCGGGGAACGGGTTACAAGTGAATTTCAAGTATATACGGGAATGTGGAGGGTCCTCCTGTAACTCTGTAAAAAGTACCACTCCGGAATTTATTTTGAAATATTTCATTTCTGGATTTGTATTAGAATTCTCTCTGTTATATTTAAAAGCGTGACAGCGTGCAATTAAAATATAAAAAAATTGCAATGTACTAAGCGTTATCTGCTTTTATTGCGGGAAGTGGGGCGGGAGGGGGAAGAAAATCCATAAAGTGCGAAAGTTTCCCGATTTACGTAGTTGCCTGTGAGATAGCGAGTATTTTCGTCGCTGAATATAAATGTTTAAACGGAGATAAGACCCGGGCGCACACGCGGAGCGGGTTCTCCGCCGCTGGATAGGATTCCGCCTCGATAGAACGATACTTCATAGAATTTTTCCGAATATACACGCCTCTCTCTCTCGTTACCGACGTGCGCGGGGTTGCGCTTTGATAAATCGCTCGCGTTTGCCATTAGTCGTTTCCCGTCCCGATGAAAAATGCGGCTCGCGCGCTAATAAACAATACGCGAACGTCGAACGCGCGGCCGCCGCCGCCGCCGCGCGCCGCTGCCGCGGCCGTTCTAAAATTGTGAACGTTCCCACGAAGCCGAAGTAATTTGTACCGTTCGAGACGCGATCGTTAAACTCTTTCGTGCGGCGATTTAGCAGGTTTCTTGCTGGCAGCGAGCGAGCCTCTATTCCAGCCGGTCAGCAGTCGGCGAAGGCTTAGACGTTCGCGTAATTCGAATCAAACCGTGGCTATTATTAACTCCTCGGGACAACACGGACTGCACGGTTACTCACGGAATTGATGAAATGCCAATTTTATACGAATATACGAATTCGATACAATTTTTTTTTGCACGCAGAAAGGAGGGAAAATCGAACTGATATAAAAACAGATTTGTTGTGCTTTAAGATGTACATACCATCGGGATGCATATGATTTGTCTACATAAAGTATAAAAAAATATATATATAAGTAAAGTTAATAATTTTTGTAGCACTTTTGTAATTTATTTCATAAATCATTGTTATCTTTCTTTCTATATATATATATATATATATATATATATATATATATACCTATATATATAAAATTAATATGTAAAGAATACAAAGGGCTTTGAGGGCGCGTCGAGCAGTAAATTAGAGCGAACTAGGTTTCAAAGTACAATAGACTATCCCGTCGTTGCTATCAGCCGTGAAGATTTTGGTGTTGCGAGCTTTTGTAGTACTCGAAGTTGTTGAGCTTCGAGCTAAGTGAGTTTTCCTCCTCCTCCGGTCGAGGTCGGTTGTCAACGAGTCAGGTGCCAGGCGCGAGAGGAGAAGCTTAGACACGACGCGACGCGCCGCGCCGCGCGGGTCGCGCACGCAGCCGGCGTGGCAAAACCACAAGGCACTCCGCGCGCACTCGCGCGCAGAGCAGCGCGCGGACGTAGGACAGTGCATTTAGGGTCGATGCCCTCCTCTCCGTGCCGCCGTCGATGTTCGGTGCTCTACGTATTTTCTCCTTATCTCCTTCTTTCGCACACACACACACACACACACACACACACCGCGGGGGCTTTCCGCTGCCGCCTTCTCTATCCTCGCCCGCCTTGTCCCCGCGGCCCGGATCGGCTCGTTCGCGGACGGTCCTTAGAGGCCTCGCTCGCATGCCTCTTCGCGATGATCGAGAGAACGAATGAGGCCCCCGCGCGTTTCGCTCTCGTTCGAGGAGAAGAGAAGGAGGAACACAAAAGAAAAAGAGCAAGGGGGAAGGAAAGCTGAAGACGATCCTCCCCTCGTATGGCTTATAAGCCCGGGCGGCACACGCGCGATTATCCTTCTTATTAAATTAAACGCGGCTAATTCCAAGGGCAGACTGATAAACGACGTATTTGCTTAATGACATAGAAGCGGGTAATTGCGATCGCTGTGTAACAGTTTGTGTCCGAAGAGCGCGTTTCGTCGAGCGAGCGAGAGCGGGAGGTAATCTCTGGGAATCTCGCGCGATGCGCCCGAGCTCTTACTCGGAAGCAATTACTCCGGCCGTCTGCTTTTCTCATACAGCGCCTCGGCGCGAATCTCGGCGTTGGTGGCGCGTCCGCGAAAAATGTTACTTTTTTTTCTCTCTCTCTCTTTACGCGCCTCACTCGTCTCGCGAAAAGTTTCTAACGTCGAGACGAGAAACATTAGAACCCTTTGGCGTACATGTAAATGTTGTTACACGTCGGCCCCGGTAAAGGAATCCCCGGTTTTTTTTTCACCGTCTGTATAAGCACGACCTTGTCCAAGAGCCGTACGCTGTTATTATCCACTTTATTAAATTAAGCGAGAGCGATACAGAGAGAAGATAATGAAAGACGTGACTTGGAATTAATATCCCAACTTTTTAATGCATTTAAGCACTCTCAAAAAGCGATAAATTATCTCACGTGTAATTTAATACGCTGCACGCTGAAGTAGCACGCGTTATACCCGCCGCGCTTTTCAACCCCCGGTTTTGAATTTTTCAAGCCTTCAGTTGCGCCTCTTGCAAAGCGCGCGATGCACACTTCGCATGTCTTTAAACATTCGCAAAGGAATTTCGGCAATACGGTGCGATTTTCCTGCGGCTTAAATAGTTAATAATGTGAACAAAATTTCCTTTTTTCTTTCTTTTTTGCTAAAATAACCTAACGTAAATTTCTGATTTCTTTTTTACCGTTCTAATTTGAAAGTACTAATCTTGATCGTCGAAGTGAACTTCACCTAGGATTTTTTTTTCTTCCAATTTGCCTCCGAGTCCAACCGACTCTTGACTCGGGTCTTTCATTGGAGAACAACGGCGTTGCAGGGGAAAATCCTAATGGATGGGAGAGACGCGAGAGGTGGTCGCGGACGCGCGCGAGAACGGCGCGCTCCGAGGATCAATGAACGATTGTTCCTTAATACGCGGTGCTCCACAGGTTGCAGCCGCGCGTGTATTCTTCGCACGCGTGTACCCTCGCCCCGCGTCTCGGATTCTAATCGAATGCGCTTCGCTCTTGATATCGAATTATCTTCGCTTTCCGCCGGCTGCTACCGTCGCCGCCGCCGACGCCGCTGTTGAGAATCTCTCTCGCGTTTGTAGTCGCGCCGAACGGGTTTCCTTGTTTGACGAGCGGCGCTCGAGCGATTTCAGAGGGATCGCGTTAAACAGCGAGATATAAATCCCTCTTAGCGTTCGCCTCGCTTGCCGAGGCAGCTCGGTTGAATCATACGACTCAGTGATTCTCAATCACGGAATGAAATCAAACGGTGCGCTCTCTTTTCTGTTGCAGGGATCTCGCGCGGGATCTGAGTCTGTCGGATAGCGAGGATGAGGAGAACAAGGTAAGTATAATAGACGCGATATTTTCGCTTTCTTTCTTTTTTTTACGTTATTAAACATAGATATTTTCTGCTAATTAAGTAAATTAATGCGCCATATGTAAATTAAATAAATTAATGCGTATTAACTAGTACATTAAATATTATCTATATCGAGGCGCTTTTCGAAGTATAATTTTGAAGATATAGAAGTCGAATTAGTTGCACTTTCACCTTCGACCTGTTGTTTTTCGTTTTTTTTTTTCGTTGGCTTCTTGCAGTACCGCAGAGTACTTTCGCAAACCGATACGTATCGAGTCGCGTTTGACGAAAAACTAAGTGGCCGTTTCATCACGGCAAGAAAGAATCCGTTCCACTTTATTTCACGGTGAAATTACTGATAGCGGTCTTCTTCTTATTCCCAGGAAACATCGTCGAGACCGACGAGAGGAAACAGGAGTCCGGATCTCACGGCCGTGTAAGTAACTGATTCGTAACTCCTAATCTATGTTGTTTACGGAAATAAATTAGGATCACAAGGTATCAGTAGTATAAGAAGTGTGCCTGCCGTTTGTCGAAATTATATTCAGAGACTTAAAAAAGGGAATTTTTATATTTTTATAAACTTTTTGTAATTCTCGAGAAGCTCATTTCATAATATCTCTTTACAATCGTGTTTTTGCCACGTACATTTATATTTAGCGTTTCAAGCAACTAAATAAACCTCATTTTTACACATTTATTTTTATTTTGTTTAGGCTCGGCGTTTATGAGAAATTAAAAAAAACTTCGAAAATTTCATACCTTTTTTTAAGCACCTGCACATTTATTTTCTGCAAGTACACCGAAGTATATCTCAGAATATATCTCGTGGTCTCAAAATTTAAAAATGTGCTATTACGATTGGTCAACAAGAAATTTCTGCGCTTTCCAGTGTCTCGATACCTTTATCGAAAATCACGACGTCCATTTTTGAGCACCATTTGATCTCGCGTCCTTACAGTCTATCGACGCCGTTGATGACATCAGCGCCGCCGCCTTTGGCACCCATGTCGCCCATGGTCATGTCACCCGTGGGCCCGTTGTCGCCCCCGCGGCCTCCGATCAGCCCGCCGCCGAAGCGGACGCCGGAGCGAGCGCTGTCTCCTCCGCCGATGATTGTCAATCACCCTCATCCGCCATCCGCATGCTCCCCGAATCCCAGCGTCGTCATCCACCCGCCGAGTCCGGCCGAAGCGCCGCAGAGCTCCGGAAGCGCCAGCTCGAGCTCGGACTCCGGCTCGGATTCCGGCACGGACAGCAGCGACGACTCCGAGGACGACGATGATCTGGCCTCGGCGCCGCCGCCATCCAAGGGCCCCACGACGCCGCCCTCGGTCTCGCTGAAGCAGGAGAATCTGGTCGAGGAGCCGCCGCCCGCCGAGGAACGTCGCTGGGATCTCAGTTCCTTTTGTTTCAAAACGGTGCAGCATGGCGATCAGAATTCGGAGTCGAAACCCGCTCAGGTAAGATTATCCACGCCGATTTAAAATGGAGCATTTAATATTTTGATAGTATATCTAACAGTTGGAAAAGAATAATACTCTTAAAGAAGAGATTTTTGAAAATGTTTTCTAGTATTGCTTTTAAAAGTAGATATGTTTAAAAATAAGAGATAATTTCGAAGCTCAGAATAGTAGATTAAAATTGAAAGAAATAAAAATGGGCTAATGAGATAGTCTCTTAATGCTTAATTCTATATTATAAACTAAATGTATACTATACGGTACGGCAAAACATTTTAATCTGTAATTAGGTTCTCTTCAAAGTGCATTAATAAAAATTTCTGTATACAGATACAGGTCAACAAATAAATATAATTTCGCAATAAAGTGAAAATTTAGATAGAGGATTACAAGTATGTCAAAAGCATAATTCGATGTATTTAAGTTAAACGAGAAATTATGCCAGAAAATTCTCTTTTAAGAAGAAGCAATTGCATTGTTCTCAGGATAACGCCAGGCGAGATAATACGCATGAGATGACGGAGACCAGATCGCATAGGGAACAAGCCCGCGATTGGCAGCTCAACGGCGAGACCGTGAAGAGGTCTCACAACATGAGTTCTCTCAGCGACAGCGATCATCACTCCGATCAGGAGAAGGTTCATCAGCTGGTCGAGGACAATCGCGCTCAGACGGAGAAGCCGAAAGCGGCCGACACCAGGAAACGCGGACGGCCCAGGAAATCCATCAAGAGTCCGAAGCGCAGCCACCGGACGTCGGACGAGGGTCTGAAGGCCAGCAAGCCGCGCAGCCGGACGAGAGCGGTCGCCGCGTCCGGCAAGAAGAAGCAACCCAAGTCGAAGGAGACGGTGACCACGAGCGACGACGACAGCGACTCGAGATCGCAGAGCGACTCCGATAGCGATCGTCGACCTACCAAAGTGTCGGCCGTGGCACCGACAAGAAACGAAAAGAGATCGAGACTGAGCTTGTCGTCCAGCGACGATGAGAGTTCGCTACCGAACAAGAAAAATAATAACAGTGCCTCCGAGGACGACGCCGCGCGATGGACTAGAGTTCCCCCCATCAAGCGGAGCAACCTGTTGGACTCGCCGAAGAAGCAGGACCAGAAGAAAAGTTCCGCCAAGGGCAAGCCTAGGCAGCCTAGATCCAGAGTGGCCAATGTTGCCGGCGGTTCCGACTCCGATAGCGAATCGGAGGTGTCTGTAAGGAGTAATCGCATCAAAGTCGCTCGGTAAATATTCTTCTTAATTATTTCAACTCATTAATTGTCTCTCTTGTGAAAATCTTTTCTTTTCTTCTTTACAAGATGTTATAAATTGTATATATATTTCCATCAAAGTGCGACTTAATTTTTTTGTGTCTTTTATCTTTAATTCTATGAAGATGTAAATAATCCTTCCAAAAATAATAATAAAATAATACGACTTTTTAACTTAGATTAGAATAAATTTATCGACATTTAAGAGATTTAAATTAATATATACAATTTTACTTTCTTCCTTTTTTCTTTCTATTTTTGCTTATATTTTTTATAAGGAAAAAACTAAACTTGAAATGTTGTAAATGTAGAGTGCCACCCAGGCCGCGAGCGCCACCAACGAGGACGACCTCACCTGATAACTCTGATAGCGATAACAGCCCGGCGTCGAAGTTGCAAGAGGACGACGCTGGCAATGTACAGGACAAGAAGAAAAGCGACACGCTGCGCCACGTCTTCTCGACGTCGAAGGGCGGCGGGAAGGGTGGTGGAAAAGGTGGGAAAGGTGGTAAAGGCGGTGGTAAATGTGGCATCTACGTGGAGGAGTACACGAGTAATTCTGCTACGCACACGCCGACTGGCGGTGACAGTCCTTACAAACGACCGTCCTCGCGGACGTCTAGTGGTGGCAACAATCTTCTCCTGCGCTCCCCCCCGCCGCTCACGTATGTGAACGGCGTACCGAGCCTCATGTGCAAGATCGATCTCAGCAGAATATCTCCGCAAATACTACAACTGACGAGAGGGCAAGAGCTCAGACAGCGCACCGAATTGCCCGACACCAGGCCATCTTCGAGGCAGAGGCCGTCTTCGAGTTTGGCGACCTCGCAACCACCGAGGCCGCCCACACCGGAGGAAGGGGAAATCGTTGATACGCCACCGCAGCAGCAGCAGCAGCATGTTGTGTCGGATCGCACGAGGATTCACCGTTCCGACGGACTGTTGGGTGAGAGTGACGGCAGGAATTCACGTTCTGTGATCAAAGGCCAGCCGATATCGTCGGACTCGAAGAGCGGCGGTACTGTTCTCGGAGGTGCTGGTAGTGCTAGTAGTGCCGGTGCGCTCGGTAGCGCGCCCAAGAGGAAACGTAATCCGAGTTGTAGTTCCGTGTCCAGTTTGAGCCCTGTTCAGTGTCCGGTGGATGCGAAAACTAAAAGTATCTCCGAGCATAAAGACAGAAGCCGTAAGAGACAGCGGAGGCATGCCACGAATGACGGGCTAATGCCCAGTCAGGTATGGATTTTGGAAAAAAAAGTTACAAAGAGAGATTCGCTCGTGTGAAGTCGTAATATTTTTTTTTGATAGATTTAATAAAAGCTTTTTAATCAATGCTAATTTTTTTTAATAATAATTACATTTTCTTATGAGTTATAAGTAGTTAATTTTACTGTAGATAGTTTAATTTATAATTATGTACTAAATAAGTGGAAACTTGTACATAATATATTTTAATGTAATCAAATGATATTCATAGCTTCGAGTTTAAATCAAATTCAATAAGTTGTTAATGTGTACCATCGCGTTGTAAGTGCGAAAGATAAAAGTAAACGCGTATTGAGTACAATACATTTAATGAAAAAAATTTTATACAAACGTTTCGCTTCTACTTTGGATCTTCTTTAGTGTATAAAAGAAAACATGGTTGTGGTAAAAAAATCAGTCACGTGGCAGAACAATGAATGCAGCCATTCTCCTTTTCCGCAGTCGTAAACTCATACACATAAATTCTTATTTAAGATGAGAGTAGTCAAGCTAAGCGACAGAAAACGCAAAGTAAACCGCTATGTACATCGCAGATACAAGGTGCTTACTTTTGGATCGAAACCTTTGTAAAATTTCTTTCATTAAATGTATTGTACGTAATACGTTTACTTTTATCCTTTGCACTTACAACCGCGACGGCGATATTGGCAATTGAATTTAACATATTTTAATATTATTGAACAGCAGAGTGATATTCAGCCGACGAATCACGAAAGGGACGAAAAGCACGATACGAGTTTATTACCGCCACCACCTCTCCCAGCACAGCGCGTCTACTATTCTTACTTTGATCCTCAAAGTGAAATATTAGAGAATCAGGATAGGTAAGCTTTTTACATTTAATGCAAAATGATAATCGAGCCCCTTTTATCATAATCGAATATACAAATTAGGATTAAAATTAGCGTGGTATCCTTAATAATATCCTTACGCTTTTCTTGATGAACTAACTGGTTCTTTAACATCATAACAGCATATACTTATACAACTATGTTTCTGTTTCTCAGGGACCATGACCAGTACCTGATCGAAGCTAAGCGACTAAAGCACAATGCCGACGAGGAGATCGATCTTACGGCACAAGGCATGAAATATCTGGAGGCCGCTCTGTACTTCCTTCTAACAGGCGACGCAATGGAACAGGACTCAGTTTCGGATAAAGCCTCGTATACTATGTACAAAGATACTCTTAGTCTCATCAAGTGAGTCATCAATTTCTAATTAAGACGCGCACGCGTGTGCGGTAAAAAGAGAGTGCTTGCTAATTGAAGCGATTTTCTCCTTTATTTTCGCAGATTTATCTCGTCGAAATTCAAGAGCCAATCGAACAACTTGCCTGAGAATAGCATACACTCTAAGCTGGCCATCCTGAGGTGGGTATACTTCCCGTAGCCTTTTCGAATCGTGTATGCGCTATCGCACAAGCGGACGCATCTCAAAACTGCGATTTTTCTTTCCAGCCTTTGGTGCCAGTCGCGCTTGTACTCCAAGCTATACAACATGCGTAGACAGGAGGTGAAAGACGTCCAGAAGATCATCTATGAATTCAATCAAAAGGTGAGTGGCTTTTTCTTCATCACTGAATTCGTAACAATCACTTTGCTCAATATATGCTAATTACTTTAAACTTATTACTTTAATTTTATTAGAATTTTCATTTTATTGCGATCTGTAATGACCGTCCTGGATATAAATCTGCTCGTGAGTTGTAATTGTTGAAAAATTTATTTCAGCAATTTCAGCAACAAATAGCTCAGACAACACCAGCTCAGGCGGAGGGACAGGGCACGCCTTCTCTCTCGCCTACGCCGTCACCCGCTGGCTCTGTAGGTTCCGTCGGAAGTCAAAGTTCCTCAGGATACAGTAGCGGTGGTCAACACGCAACAGTCAATGGTCAATATATTAGCGTGCCAATAAACGTCTACAATGCGATGATGAAGCAAAATCAGTATTCAGGCTTACTTACGAATGGTCACGATCTGTGGGACCAGGCAATAACGCAGGCGAGACAGGATGAGAATAAAAGTATGTATCGGGAGATAAAAAAAAAGACGCGTCGAATGAATTTTGATTTCAGTTTGTAATGGCCGTTCTTTTTGTCTCGTGTTTTCAGACTTTTTCATCGACTTGGATCGAAGGTTGGGACCCTTGACATCGGATAGCTCGGTACGCGAGCTTGTGCGTTACGTTCTGGCGGGTATAAAGAAGTTGCGAGCTCTCTGACCACAGTGGCACAGCCCCCGACCAGCCACTCCAAACTACGTTACCTCCCTTCCGCAAAATATGGCCACTTACCCGACTATGTACTCGTAGTTGCGTAGCGTCGTTACGTCGCGTTCACTGTGACTTTATATATCATCAATCGGCGGCGCGATGCACGGAGACGTGGGAAAAAACGGGAAGGTGCGATAACGGTGTGATATAGCGAAATCACGGACTATTTTCTCTGCGAGAAGTGGTCTCAGGGGGTGCGACCGAATCGATAACGAGGGTCATGGCAATCTAGAAAAAGGAGAGAATACGAGAAAGCTCGTGTGGTCTCCTTTAGTCGGACAACGTGGGGGCATTCTTGATATAAATTTAGCAGCAAGTTTATAGTCAATTGTAAAGCGCGTGCCTGAGGGGGCGAGGGAAAGAGGCGGTCAACCGAGAGGGAGGGAGGGAGAGAGAGAGAGAAAAGTCCGCTTTATCTTACCACGGTGCATATACGAATCTCGTGCACTTTGTTTAGAGCACGTGTTACTTACTCTCGAGGCGCAGTGGAGAATTGTTGGACGGGAGAAATTGATATCGAGGCGCTTCGCGAGCGACGACGCGAGCGCATTAGATTTCTAGCGAGCCGCAGTGATAACTCGTGTCTATTTTTTCCGAAGTGTCCGCTTTTGTAAGTTATCGCATAGATACCGACACGAGCTCGGAGTGGGAAGGGGAGAATCGGAGGTAGGAGGGGAAAAAATAGGAAAATGAGAAGGGCCGAAAACGAGAAAAGAGAGGAAGTGAAAACCACTGAAGGGGGTAGTAGAAGTGCCACGTAAAAGCGCCCGTGTGTTCTCGCTTCACGGTGCGCCCGCAGCCGACGTTACCTGAAGCATGAGTATCGTTTCGGCGATTCGAATGCGATGAATATAAGGGAATACATATTTAATATATATATAGTTTATTACCTATATAAATATATATAAATAGTTATAAAGATAAGAATATATTTAATGACGCGAGGAGAGATGACGCGCATCTCGCGCGCCGCGTTTCAGTACAGGGGAACAGATGACAGTTGTATTCGCGAATGGGAGGTGATATGAAGGAAAAGGGCGGAGAGGAGAGGTGGCCAGAAATCGGAGTGATTTCGGTGGAGGAGAGTGCGCGAGCAACAGGATCAACAACCAGGATCAAGTGATGTGCTATAGTTAAACTATAGTTCTTAACATTTGCGTGCGAAGCACACGACTCTTTTTGTAGATAGATCACGGGGGAAGTAATTTTAGATTAGAGTAATTAATATGCAAGCAGGAAATCCAGTAACAGATGCGATTATACCAATACATATTATTTACATTTACTTAGAAGTTAACCGGGAGAATTAAGTAGAGGGTTCTAGTGCGATTGAAAAGTAAAAAAAGAGGAAGAAATAATGACATACCGCATACACAACATATACCAATAGCATAATTTAAACAAAAACGCAAGCGAGGGGAAGAACGAAGCGGGATGAACGCTAGAGATAAAACGCACGCTGAGAGTGCGTCGGG